CCTGGGTTTCTTCGAAGGAACCCAGCGCCTGGGTTCGAGGAACCCAGCGCCTGGGTTCGAGGAACCCAGCGCCTGTGTTCGAGGAACCCAGGCGCTGGTGCTATGTTCCTTCAAACCCAGTAGGGAGGGGAAGGAAAAAAGGAAAGAGAAGGAGAAAAAAAAAGGAAAGGAAAGAAAAAAGAAAAAAAAATTTTATTTATTAAATTATATTTTTGGTGCCAAGTCACAATATTTTAATAATTAAAAATGTCACTTCACTTGTTTTATTTTCAGGTAATATTTATATTAATAAAAATTAAATTTGTTAACGGAAGATTTTGCCATGTCAGCACTTAACTGACAGAAGGACAAAATTGGTTCCAAAAATTGAAGTTCAAGGATTTTTTTAGTATTTTTTGAAGTTCGAAGGTAAATTTAGTTCAAAAATGAAAGTTGAGGGACTGAATCGGGGATTTAACATTTTTTTTTCAAACCTTTAGTTAATGGTGAGACCCACAAATAAGATTGGTAGCAGGTAGACTTCCCGCTCATGGGGTTCCAAGTTGGCATGCCAAGTTGTCAAAAAAATCTGAGTTAACGCTGACATGTGCATATTTGACGGAGGCCAACGGTGCACGTGCTATACGTGACGCTTCGGCGTTAAATTTTGTCTTATTTCCTCAAACTTGAAAATATTGAGAATAAAAATTCATGTATTATAATATGAAGGGTAAAAACCCTCAAATTCAAAAAGTTAAAAGGCAAATGGATACTTTTTGCTAGCTCCTACGTAATGCTAACTTTATTTATTATACTTTTATTGACTGTTCACTAGAGCTCTTCCAATTTTCAAACGTGGTAAAAAAAAATCAATCTCGTATTTATTTTTTTGGTACAAATCTCTCGAGAACGAAGAAACAAAATATGTGGAAACTAGGTCCAGCATGTGTTGGTCTAATATATCTTGAATTTAGATTTACTTATTTTTTTCAAACTAATTTTTTAATGTTTAGAAAAAAATATATATATACGTGGAAACTAAATCTATTTTTTATTATTAAAATTTTTGAATTCATCCCGACTTTACTGTCATCGGCAAAAGTGCTTACTTAAAAAAAAAAGGAAGACAAAA